CATCAGCATGGTTTCCGTAAAGTGCACAGTACCACCACAGCACTTAGCGTCATAAACGCCCAGATAGTTCATGGCCTGAACCAGAAGCCACTCTGCGAGAGGACGATCCTCGTAGCGTTGGACTTGTTAAAAGCTTTTCACACAGTCAATCACGCAACGCTACTTGAGGACCTGGAACAATCAACGCTCCCTCCAGGGCTGAAGCGGTGGACCATGAACTACCTGAGCGGTCGACACTCATCCGTACTATTTCGAGGTCAAAACTCCAAACTCAGGAAAATTAAACAGGGGGTTCCGCAGGGCGGTGTCCTCTCCCCGCTACTGTTTAATTTCTACATTTCGAAACTCCCCCAGCCACCAGCGGGAATTTCAATGACCTCGTACGCAGATGACTGTACGATATTGACGTCGGGCAATGGAATCGATGGCATGTGTTCAAAAGTAAACGGCTACCTCTCCGATCTTTCTCGCTTCTTTTCTGCAAGGAACCTAACACTCTCCCCCACTAAATCCACAGCGACCATATTCACCAATTGGACGAAGGAGTACAGACTGGACCTGAACATTTCAGTCGATGGCACAAAAATTCCGACAGTAAATAACCCTAAAATTTTAGGCGTCACTTTGGACAGTCTGTGCTCTTTCACTCCTCACACGACTGCGATAACTGCCAAAGTACAGAGCCGCAACAAAATCCTCAAGTCGCTTGCCGGCAGCTCATGGGGAAAGGACAAAGAAACGTTGTTGGCAACATACAAGGCAATCGGCCGGCCGGTCCTCAATTATGCAGCCGCAATATGGTCGCCTGGATGTAGTGACACGCAGAATAAGAAGCTCCAGACTTGTCAGAACACTGCACTCCGGACTATCACGGGGTGCCTCTTGATGTCCCCAATCGAACACCTACACAGCGAGGCCCGTATGCTTCCGGTTAAGGAACATAATGAGCTCCTCTCCAAGCAGTTTCTGCTGGGATGTTTTCGCAGAAACCACCCCTGCAGACGCCTGCTTGCAGCGGAGCAGCCTCCTAGGAACATCAAGAGGTCCTTCCTTGACTACGTCGACGACATCAGACAGCACGTCGACCAGACTTCGGACGCAACTAACTTCAGACAAGCACTGACCGCCATTCACAGTGGAGCCATTAACACCTTCACCGACTCCCTTTCAGTGAATGGCGTAATACGAGTCAAACCACCACCCATTGCAGACACAGAGCTCGAGTTGCCTCGCGAATCTAGAGTGACCCTCGCGCAACTTCGCTCTGGATACTGTAACAGGTTAAACTCCTACCTATCCAGAATAGACCCCGACATACTAAACACATGTCCTGCATGCAATGAGTCTCCGCATGACACTAACCACCTCTTTGCATGCCCTACAAACCCCACTCATCTAACACCCCTTTCCCTATGGTCCGACCCCGTCGAAACAGCTCGTTTCCTGGGCCTTCCGTTAGATGACCTCGACGACAACGAATCTAGAATTTATCACCCAAACGGGGATTAGATAATCGTTATAACAACAACAACATCATATAGCTGCCATACAAACTGAAGATCGGAATCAAGTGTTTGTATGGAAAACTTTTTCAAATGGTGAGATGATTTAACGAAATTTTCCTGGAGGTCATATATCGGTCAATAAAATTCAGATAGAATATATCCCTAATAACAGTACATTCTTGGAATAAAATGGATAAAATCGGGTAAATACTTCACTAGTTTTCAAAAATCCACTTGAAGCTTAGTTAGCATCTATTTCAAGAAATGATATGTCATACTGCCAAAACTAGATAAAATCGGGTGAATATATCCTCTAGCTTCCATATACCTTATAAGAGAAATTTCAAATATAATTATGAAATATAAGATGTACATAAGTGTAATGATTTTTGTAGGTCTAGCAAACTTAATGCCCAAGATCTCGATAAATGTGCAAATTATCTTCACAAAATTGAGTTTAAACGTGTTCTCTAGAATACTTGAAAAATGCCAAATGTTATTGCAATCAGTATGATATAAGGGCAATCAGTCCAAATCTTCCCCTATCCCCAATATACGTGATTTCCATTTATTTTAACTTTTTATCTGACTTTAAAACGTTTATTTCGGTCGATAAAGGTCATATTTTGATTAAATTAAGTTATACCCTTATTACGGTTTTCAACTCCACTCGGTTGAATTGAAGTTGAAGCATGATGTGCTGTACATAAGAAAAAGCCTTTGTGATTGCGGATTCATAAGTTATTTTCGTTTAAATGACGAATCATTTTTTTTTTTTTCAAACGAGATGAAGGAACGTTGCCACAAAATTTACATTTTCTTGCTGCCGGTAGATATGAAGAATGCATTTTAAATGATTTTAACTTTAGGCTAAAAGAACCTACAAAACCTGCTTTTGAAAATTATGAGCACCATATTTGTGCGCTGTGGATAAAACTCCAATCACTGAAGAAGCACAAAACGGTTCAAACGCTTTACAATCATTTTGTGAGTGTGATGTTGGAAGCTGTTTCTGACTAATTTTGGGTTGCTAAAACCGAAAATTATAGTAAAAATTTCCTAACACGTAGCATTTTTTGTGTTGTAGTAAAGAGGTGTAGGGATCAAACCACCATCATTTACTAAAATTGGCAAAAATAGCTGTACGTGATGGACAATTTTTGAACTCAAATTCGTAGTCAATACCCCCACAAGCCCCTAGCACATCAGTCGCAAATTTTAATCTCAGATTTGTTGAGTAGTGAAACTTAATTTTACTCAAAAAGTATATTCTTGGGAGGAGGTACATTGTATCGACTCTTAATGTTTGAAACATTTCCCACGGTCCCTTAATTTTATTTTAATGTTTCCGAATTGTAGCTTGTCTCGTCCAGTTTTGGGATTTTACTCCATGAGCTCAATAAATTGTTCACCTTTCTTCGGATTTGTACATAATAACTCATTAAAATAGTATGAAGTTATGAATAAAATATCTTTTTACCCTTTTTCTATTGTATTATTATTTTTCCTAAATATACTCATCAATGTTTTAACTACATTTACAATTTTTTGATACTCTAGTCACCCCCAATTGCACAGAGTTGAAAGCTAAATACCATAAAAAGTTGAAGTTTGACAACATTTCAACCGAAATTTGTTTAGGGGTTGAGTTGAAAACCATAATACCGAACTTCAAAACTTCAACCAAAATGCAATTGGGTTGAAAAACTTTAGGGGCCCTAACAATTTTGTTTAAATGTACTGTGACTTAGCGCTGAATATGACTGGAGTTGGTCTAGACTCTAGGCCTTTTTTTTTTTATTAATACAAAGTTTTTCTTTACCTGCAAGTATTTCCCCGCCTTCTACCCTTTCTCAATGGTATAACACACAATTTTGTGAAGAATTTCTGTAGGGGCATAGTCGGAAATAGTTTTGTGTTCATATGGAAATGTATATTCCAATTAGAGACAAACATACCGAATGAAACAAAAATTATGTTAATTATTTACATATGTAAGAAGTCCCCATTTTTATACTCTCGCAACTTGTTGCTACAGAGTATAATAGTTTTGTTCACCTAACGGTTGTTTGTATCGCCTAAAACTAATCGAGTTAGATATAGGGTTATATATATATAAATTATCAGGATAAAGAGACGAGTCGAAATCCGGGTGACTGTCTGTCCGTCCGTCTGTGCAAGCTGTAACTTGAATAAAAATTGAGATGTCTTTATGAAACTTGGTACCGTAAGACGGTTGGTAATGCAGATGAGCGTAATCGGACCACTCCCACGCCCACAAAACGCCATTAATCAAAAACAAATAAATTGCCATAACTAAGCTCCGCAATAAGATACAAGACTGTTATTTGGTATACAGGATCACATTAGGGAGGGACATCTGCAGTTTTTAATTTACCTTCTAACTATTCGGAGATAGGGATTAGTATTATCCGTGAAATTCGTTTCCCTTAACAATCGGACCTAACCAGAACGGACCCAGTTTTTATTCAACTTTTAACTTGTAATTTATTTACATTTTTTTGGGGATAGCAAAAACGATTTCGACTACTTCTTCGTTTTACCCATTGTATAAATCTAAAATTGTACAATGGTTTTACCGAATTGCGGTGATTGAAATGTAAAACTCAATTTTTCCTAGAGTTATTTTATTATTAGACGTTTACACTTCATTCTTAAAAATTGAATAAGCCTACAAGTAGCCAAAGAATCAGCTGTTTTCCTATGTGTGTGAAACAGCCGTGATCACCTGATCGAATCTGCCTTTTTTTGACACAGAGATGTAAATGAAAGGCTTGTTTGTGATCATGTAATTGTAATGGAGAATATAAATGAAAACTTTCAAGAATATTTTCGAAACAAAAGATTATTATATATTTATTGCTTTTCCTCACAACCTCTGAGCTTGCAATATAGGTGCTTTACCGATAATTTTTGGATGTTCGGTTCCCCAGGAACTCTATATTCACCCATATAATATATACAGTTCTAAAACAATCTACTTTTCATAACAATTGTAACTCGAAAAGATATATGCATAAAATCAGGTACATAAATCAGGTTCATGAATATTAATTATTTGATTTGAACAAAAAAGAAATAAATATAAAAAATGAGGTACAATTCAGGAACAATAACAATAATCAAAACAATCTACTAAGTAATAAATAATATTCACAAAATATTTTAAATCACCGTTACACAATAATATATTTGATAAAATTGGAAACATTTAATAATATTTCAATACAATAAATGATAATTTTAATAATACTATGTAAATTTAATCTTTAGGAATTAAAACAACCCAAAAATATTTTAATATGGAATAAAAACATTCTTAAAGTTATAAATTTTATAACATAACACGGCAACACACTAGAGCAGATTTCTGTCATTTGGACGTTTTAGTAGTAGAATATTGGTTGGCAACCCGTACAAAGTGTGACTTTAGTAGCAGAACATTGGTTGGCAACCTGTACCAAGTGTGATTATAGTAGTAGAATTTTCGAGGCAACCCGTACCAAGTAGGATATTTTCGCGTGTGATTAGTGAAAATCTTAGGATTAGTTACTTGTAGATTTATACAATGTTCTTAAATCAGACACGGAGAATGTCAAATAAAAACAGAGTCAAAGTTTGACGTTCCATGCCCACACCATCTCGAATTTATTAGTCCAATAATACAATATGGACTAAATTCCACAAAGTTCTATCGTGTATTCAAAGATTATAAATATATTTAAGATAAGGAATTTTTCACGCCTCAGCAATAACAATGACCGCAACTGCTGTAGATCATGGCGTACAGCGTGGAGTCAACCGCGTACTTGTTAAGCTGGAAAATTCAATTGAATCAGGAAACTACTATGAAGCACATCAAATGTATCGGACATTGTACTTTCGATACACCGGTCAACAAAAATATGCGGACTGCTTAGAATTGCTATGGAGTGGGGCAATGAAGCTTGTATTAAAACAACAAGAAACGAGTGCAGCAGATTTAGCCCTCCTCCTTGTTGACACATTAGACAAGCGTGGTAGTACTGAAAGTGACCCAAGTAATGAGGGCGACATTTGGATTAAACGGTTGGGCACGCTTATTGGACTTCTAAGTCCTACAACGGTGGAGCGCGAAACCTTAATTGTAACATTTTTACATTACATGAAACTTTAACTCACATGAAAATTTATTTGTAGAGTCGCGCAATAAAATGGAGCAGTGATATGTCGGGCAATACATTAGGGCACCCCGGCATGCACAAAGCTATTGCTCAAGTATTTTGGGCTGAAGGAAATTGTGAACAAGCACGCCATCACTTTTTACTGAGTCGTGATGGAAATCTTTGCGGTCGTATTTTAATGAAGATCCATAAAAATAAAGGCTACAAAAACGAATTGGATTTATTTATCGTGCAGGCTGTACTACAACAATTATGTTTAAAAGATCGGAAGACGGCTGAAGATACTTTTATATCTTACACTTCAAATCATTCGAGCATTAGACGTAATGAGGCTCCATTCAAACAACCGCTATTAAACTTTATACACTTTTTGTTTCGTTGTATCGACACTGGACGACATGACACATTTCGTGCTTTGTGTGATCTATATAAACCATCGTTGAATAGAGATCCTTCGTTCGAGAAATATTTGGTCAAAATAGGAATACATTTCTTTGGTGTTGCACCGCCATCTACAACAACTGGAGGAGGCTTAATGGGAGGCATGTTTGGTGACTTATTTACGCGCTTATTCCAAGGATTCGATGACGATGATGACGATAGCCAACATGGGCAACAATTAAGGGCCAACACACGTTTACGTACTGGTGGCGCTCCAAACTCTGTCAATCTAGATTAACATCAATAGAAATGACGACACGAAATAATCATGTTTTTTTTTTTCAATGAAATAAACTATAGTTTTAGCATGTTAATTTGACAATTTTTTTTCCCGTAGTCATATATAAATAGCCTAACTTCATAACTGAAATCTCATTTCGAATATTTTCTACAAGTTAAAGTGTTCAATTCAAAATGCATCATTGTAACAGCTTTAGCCATTACAGAAACCGAATCTAGTATATAATTTTGTTAACAAATATAATTAATTTTAATTTAATTATAGTAAATCTTTTAAGATTGATACGTTCAAATAACATTTCATCGAATATATTTCGGAGTGCTCTAAAATATAAAGAATATGTGGTCCAATTTGCAAGCATTTTTATAAATGGATTATTTTACTTAATAAACTCAATCAAGCTATGATAAAATTTAAAACAATCAGGGGTGTTGTGGAATCCAAGACAGACTTGGGCATTGTATAAATCTACTTAGCTTATACAATGGACTTGGGTAGTTGCCAGAATTGCAAACTAATTCTGATTTTCAATGGTGTAACAGATCTGATCGAATTTGCGCCTTTTTGAACATATGCAAAACCAATATTCGAATCAGCTGTTTACTAATGTGACAAAATTTGCAAATGAATAAATTAGGAAGCGTTTTATAAATTTTAAATGCTGAATGAAGTCTACTAAAGTTTACAATGAGTTCCGCTATTTTAGAAGAAAAAAAGCAACGAAAAAAATAAAAGGAATATATTAAAAGATCACAGCAATCCACTTGATGCACCAGGGGAGTCGCATGTAAATTTGGCTTGCATTTACTTGTATATTTATATAGATGCTTACTTTACAGATTTATATCACATTAGCGACTGTATAAAGACGCATTTGGGTGGTAAATTACGTTTTGTAAATTCCCTTAAAATATCTTGATTTTTTCTATAAACTCGATAACTATGACATTTTTATTTTTATTCTTATGTTTTCCCCTATAGAAATAACGATAAATTAAATCGTAACAATAATATAAATTATATTCTTAACTTACATTTCAAATCTGTCAGCAAAAATCTTCTTGATTTTTTTCTGATAACAAAACTGATAAAATTGGTTTCCGTGACACCCAAAACCCATACAATTTCTGTTTCGAACGTCAAACCAATCTTATCTCCATTCATGGCACCTACTACATTTTCTTATCGGTTTCAATTCTGATTCCGACAACTATCAGATTCTACAACCCCCCTGAATAATTTACCGAATTACCATGATTCGTTTCGTAAGACAGCAACCCGAAGATTTCATTTTTGTTGTAAATAGGTTTAGAGCTGTTGACTGCAAGTTAGTACGCTGAAAATTGCAACAAACAATAAATTCAATAATTTTAGACCAACTCTCTTTGGGATATAAACCCACCTTAATACTTTATGCACTCCGATTTAGCGAGGAAAAAACTTTACATTTCATTAAAGAATAAATAATATTAATAGACTAGTTTTCTAAAAGTAAAAAAAGAACAAATTAATTAACAATTAATTTTGCACTATATTTGCAGTTGGATAATCATTAGAATTCCAACTGCAATTGGGGCAAAACTCTAAAGACACTTTTCCTTGCCTTATATGTAAGCAAATGCCCGCATCAAATTCTATATTTTCAAGTGAAGGCACTTGATCAACATCGGCATAACTATGCTCTCCTCCAACTGTAGTTAATTTTTTTAAACCCTTAGTTCCTAGGTCTTCATGTAGGATATCGGGCCATGTATTATTAAATGCTGACGAAGGCATAAAATCTGAGGATAAATTTTCAAAAATGTTATACATTTCTATAGGATCATCTTGAAAAGAAAACTCTGATGAAATTCCAACGCTACCATTATCCGAATTTTCCGACATGGAGGCGACATTCCATTCAATATTGTCCACACTGTTCGTTTGCCGTAAAATACTTGAAGATTGTTGTAACTGCTGACTGCCATACGAATGAGCGGGAGAACTCAGTATTGGCGAATTAACAGTCGGAGACTGCTGAACATGCATTCGAACATTCAGAGCTTTAATAAGATTCTCTATTTCTTTGTGATTTGCAATAACGCTCTGAAAATACCTTTTCTCTCGTTGAAGTTGGCCTACTGTTTTCATTTGCTGCTTTAACGCCTTCTTAAGTTGCTTATTGGCCGCTCGCACTTCCTCCAACTCTTTTTCCATTGCTTCTAAATGTGCTTTCTTCTTTCGACGATTTTCCCGTGCCAACAAGGCATTTCTATTTTGGACATTTGGATTGGGCCGCCTAGTTGGCATACGTCCTTGACAAACTGTCTTTATGCCGATTTTCACACCTGAAATTGTACTTTCTTCGCTATCGGTGGCTGAATTAGAATCCGTTGATTCATATCGATAGACATTCTGATGCAACAACTGCTTGATATCTTCCATTATGATTTATGTTGTGGGAAAATTTTACAAACGGAATCTTGTTTATTATTTTGTACACAAAAAAAATTGTCGCTGCTACTTTACCTTTTCTATAAAAATTTTCAATTTTTCAACAAAAGAAAACCACCTATTATGTTTTATACACGAACAGAAAATGGTGGTATGAGACGAAGAAGAATCTTGATCACGGTTGTATTTTGCGAACATTCAGAGTTGCTTTCGGTTTTATAGTCGTATGATCTTTTTTCAGTAATTTACTTTTATGTATAAACATATTGTCTCTTACTGAAAGGAAAAAGTAAAAAAAAAAATAATAATTAAAAATACTGCAGAAGTAATAATTTTCCAAAATTTTTTTATTCCTAAAATTTGCTTAATGAAATATAATAGAGACAGTTTATTTTATTTTATACCCCTATTACGATTTTCAATTCCATTCAGTTGAGTTGAAGTTAAAGCAGTAGTTTTCATTTATATTACGATGACAAAAATCTTGGGGCCAAAATTAATGTGCTGCGCATATAAAAACCCTCGTGATTACTCAAATTCATTGGAACTTCCTAACACCAAATAAACCAAAACTGAATGACAATTAAACGGCTTTTAATTAATATTAATATATCTTAACAAGTACTGTGTTTAAATTTTGTCGAAAGATTCGAGTATCGATTCTACGAAATTCAAAATTCGTAAGCTGGTAGCACTGAAAGCAATATAAAATCGAATTAACAAACGCGGCAGGGTTTAACGAAAATTATTGGAAAGCGGAACGAAAAACAAGGAAGCAACGAAATTAGGAAAAGGAAGAAAATAAAGATTGGCTATTATAGCAAATAATAGCTGAATATAAATCAACAATAGCAAATGGACCTGAACTTGTTGATTACTTGGCTTTTTTTTATATGACCGAGTGTCTAGAATTAGAGTGTATATAAAACAATAGTGGTCGCACACATAGATATTTCACGACCACTCCAAGCAGTGGGGAGTGCAGTGGAAATATAAAATGTATACACGCGATACGGAATTGCGACGACTGCAATCCAACGATGTGAACCGTCTGGCGGAAACGTTGGGATTCGTTGGAGGAAGAAAGTTAATGGAAAATATACCAAAACATTGGTCAAACCAAGACGGATACAATGTTGAAGATTCTGTTATGGGAAGCCAAAGATGGAACGGTTCTAGTGTGATAGAGTTGAAATACAAGCCAGAACAAATTCGGCTAATAGAAGAAGCAACAAGGCAAACTAGTGGCTGTTATTTTGCAGAGATATTAATACAGGAATGGAGCACCAGTGGTCGCAAACATGAACGTCCGACTGTGGGTCTCTTATTACAATTACTGATAAAAGCAGATCTGTGGAATGCAGCTGACTTTGTAGCAGAACATTTTTTGAATGGTAAGAATGCCGTTGTTACAAAACAAAAAAAATTCTTCTAATTTTAATTGTATTTGTACCGAATAAACAAAGTGGAACATAGAAGAAGCATCGAGCTTTTGTTTAACATTTTTAGTTAAATTAAATAATTTTTTAATATCACCACTTTAATCAAAAGTTTTAGGACTTTAAGTACAATAATTCTAAGTGGTAATAAATGTTCATAAAAAATATTTTATTTTACTATTTTTAAATAACACGCTGAACTCTTATTCAATTACCAGAACCCCCACCCGAACGTCCTTTGGAAGGACCAGGTGCAAAAGTTGACATATCAATTCCAACAGAATGTTTGAGAAGTGTTGTAGATTTTGTAAATGATTCGGACGAATATCCAGACACTGAAGCGCTTAACGATAATATCAATAGAACGAATGGATTGGACGATCACAATCGAGATTATTACTCAAAGTATTCACCTTTGAATAAGGACTTAAACACGGTGGCACCAAAACCACCACCTCGGACACGATCTGCGCGTCATCAAAATATTCAACACAGTCTACAGCAACAAATTCCAATACAACAACAGCAACAAAATATTCAGAATGCACCAACCAACAAAGAAGCAGCAACTGCAGAGGCTAATGATCGAAATAGATGCCCTCAAAGCCATGATAATATTGAAATATCTGAACGGCTTCAAAATGTCAATTCGCCAATGAGTAATATCATGACTTCACATAATATACCAGAGTTGAGCGATCTGCTTAAATCGAATAGCCTGCATTCTGCGTTAAAATCAGAGGTTTCTTACGAAATCCCTATGGTTTCCCTTCTTGATTCCAAACCCAAAAATATAGCAAGTATACCAGTTGTTGCATCAACATCTAATGCTGCACAGACATCGATGGGGGGATCCGATCTGGTCGAAAGTCTACCACTGATCACTGAACTCAATTCAGATGGTGTGGATATTGAAGTTTCAAATGATTTTCACGGAGAAAAGTCTGATTCAAACCAATTGCCACACCAAATTACTTCACTTTCTCCAAATGGTTTAAGTGATGATAGTCACTGTAGTAGTTTAAGTAATGATAGTTTCGACGATGGCGAATACAGTGCTGTAAATATATCAGATGTTGGTATTGTTGATATGGAGAATACCGATGGAAATTCTTGTGATCAAAGCCTGCCAAATCTAAGCATTTTCGGTCGACAAAGTCCCAATAACGACTCCAGTTTGACGACTGTAACGTGCACAAGTGGTGACAATAGCTTCGACCTGAGCTTAAACGAGTCGAGTTCAACATCAACAACAGATCCCACTGCGCAAAGAAAGTAAGTTTGCGTGTGGGTTTCTGGCATGACTGTTAGAGGCAAACAGAGACAAAATGTTTTATCACTCCTATGTTAGACGATATTATATAATGGCATTCCAAAAGATACGCGCAGGATTATTTGTGAGCATCAATTGCGAGTAAAAATATTGATTGCTTATATGTATAGTAAAAATATAATAACACTTGTTACATAAAATTGATTTATATATCCTCTGCGATAAATACATTATAAGACAACTTTTAATTATATTTGAATTCATTTAATGTTAAAGTTTATACAGTATAAGTTGCAGTAGAATTTGACTTAGTCTAAATTCTTACAACATTTATGTGTAAATTGTAAAATATATCATATATATTAAAAAATATAAAATCGATCTTCTAATTTTAATAAGCATTTGTTTATTTTCTAAGTAAGTGGAATTTTTATTTATAGAATAAATACTTACCTACACCACAATGCACTTTCTATAGTTATCACTAAGTGGTTAAATATTACTCAACTGTTAAGAATTTCAAAATAACTTACATAAGTTCGAATCAACGTAAACTTTACCCAAATATGAAATTAGGTTTTGTGAAATTGTGTTAATCTATAATAAATATTGCTAACTAAAAATTTTAAAATGTACAGGTTCGGACAAAACTAAAACACGAAACCTTGTACGCATTTAGTTAAAAACAATATATAATAGTTTTGCAAAACTTTTAATTTTTTATGAATATAATAAGAGTATATGTATAAACAAAAATTTATCAAGCTGAACATCTTTATTATAAATAAGGTTTTGACATAAAAAAACTTAGGATAATATGTATATTTGATGTGATAAAACTAAAGCACTAACTATATTTACTTATTGAACTTAATTTCAAGAAGTACCGTTAAAATTCCAGCTATAGTTAGAAACCGTTATTTGTTACAGCGCGTTAGAGTAATTTTAATACAAGTAGATTAGTCATTTATATCATCATGGAGGAGTGTACTTCTTTCTGGTAACGTTTGAGTCCGCAATTTAATTGAATCTATGCCACGAAGAAATGCAGCCGTCATCAAAACAATGGATATACAACCAATTATTAACCACAAATACATTTATTTTTTTAACTACCTGTAATGTAATGTTTTGTCGTATATATTTTATGTATATTGTTATTATTTAATAGTCCAGTCATTATAGTAAGTTCACCTCGGAATTCAGATACCCAGCTGTAAGTCTGTAAATACTTAGAGCAACTTGAACAAGCCTTGCCCATTACATTGGCCACAAGCTAAAGAGCATTGCACGCCCCTTTCCTGCATCCGCATCGCGAACCACAACCACTTTGCAGTTGCAGAAAATTGTATTTAGCAAATGTTCTGAGCAGGTGGTAAATTGTCATGATAGGCTCCAAAAAATCGTTTCGCATTGCCCAACCATACCTGGGGTTCCAAATCATGCCCTAACCAAGTTTGAACTTGATAATATACACGTTCGAAATGTTGATGAGCAGCTCCACTTGTTGGTGGAATATTTGAAAGCTGCACGTTTATACGTTTTGTAGACTTGACGCAATGCATATAACGAAGATGATCGAGACTTTTCACAGATTTCGGAGTATTATAGACTGCCAATAAGTTTGAGTTCCACTCTCTAATAATCTCTGGCCGAACAATTTTCTTCTCAAATGCTGCAGCTAGTTCATCCAAATTGGTCAGTTTCTCAAAACTTTAAAAATGTTTTTTTCCTTTCCCTTTCACATCCACTTAATGCGTGCAGATAAAAATATGTGTTTTGGAATGAGGATAATTATCAAAACTTTAGTCGAGTATATCTCGTTTTTACTTGCCTTTCCCAACTTTTTAAAGAAAATTTCTTGTTCGAAGACAGTGTACAGCATTAAAATGATGAGTAAATCAATATCTTGTCCTATTATTTACAAATTTACAGATTTTAAAGAAGATGCACTTAATTTTTCTAATTAAAATGTCATTAGTGTTAATGGGAATATAATTATAGTAAGATTTAAGTTTTCCTTCATTATTTTTAATTTTAGGAACGGTGATCAGTATTATTGAATAGATAAAGATTTAAGGCATGAAGAAAATGATAAAATATAATATATGGTAATAAAATTGACAAATATTATAATCATTGATTTATCGATAGTTCATCAACTATATATGGCGCGTTTTTGATCGGAGGCACCGGTTGACCTGAAGTGATGCTGTGACCGCGCGTCTAAGGCCTCTATCTCGAAACGGTTCACCGTATGAAAAATTTTTAAACAAAATTTGAGAGAATTTTGTATTCTACAATATTGATAATAAATACCAATAGCAAAAACCCATAGGAAATGAGATATTTACAAAAAGCGCAAAAATGATTTTGTGACCTTTGACCTTGAAATTAAATAGTTGCGTACCCCTACCATATGTAGGTTTTGAGACAACTTTTAGGGTGTCAATATACAAGTATTCACAGACTTACAGCTGGGTATCTGAATTCCGAGATTCTTACCTAATTTAAGCTTAAATGA